CCTTAGGGTGAGGGAAGTGGGAGACTAGGCAGAAGCGTCACGTGTCTACGCAGTCTACATGCCTGGCTCCCCCAAGTTTTTTCGGGTGTCCCAGCACGAACGTAGGAATTTGATGTTCACCCACTTTGGGTAGGCGCGCGCGCACTGGCGCGTTCCCACACACAAACCCTTCCCCCGCGGCTAACCCGCGGCTCTAAGTTCCCGGTCCCGGTTGCTGAGGGAGGTGGTGGGCCGAGCACTTGTGCCTGCGCAGTTCAATCCCAGTCCGCCTGGTGACGCTGGGCCCAGTCCCTGTGGCTGACCCAGGCTCAGAACTGAAAGGAATCGAGGCTTTCGGGCCCCGCTTTGGAAGGCCTGGCACAGGCTGGCGTGCAAGGACTCTGTGGAGGTGACGACATTACGAACCCCGAGCGGACCCGATCCAGAGCTGCTGGACCCTGCAGCGCCGCGGCCTTTTCTGCTCTGGACTACGTTTCCCAGGGGCCCTCGCGGAAACTGGCCCAGCGGCCCCTTTGTGTCCTCCGGAGGCCGAGGCAGCGGTGGCGCTTCTGTGCCCGCCCGCTGGGGCTGGGTTCCATCCAGCTCTCAGGGTAGCGAGGTGAGGCCCGAGTGGAAATTCCCAGAGCCTTCGGAGCGGGAACGGGACCTTTCCGCAGTCAGTTCTGCAGGTAGGTAGTGGGCTGAACAGTGGCCTCTGGGGCTCTCGAACGCCAGTCCCTCAGCCCTCTGTGGGACTCTGCGTGTGAGACTGTGGTTAGTACCGCACAGTGTGAGACTATCACCCGATGTGCCAGTCCACGTCGCACCTGTGTGACCGTGGGTACGAGTGAATCAATGGTACCGAAGAGTCTGAGACTGTGAGGGGGCGCGTGAGTGGCGGGTACCCGCCCCCTTTTACCGGCACCTGCGGCCTCTTTGTGACTGGGATGTGAGTGAGGGTGTCGGTTGTGATACCCTAGTGTCTGAATCTTAGGGGCATTGGAAAGAGTGTCCGTGTGAGACAGTCCTTACCCATGGCATCTAACTGTGATGTGTGTGAGACGGTTGTTGGCACTGTAGTTTTTGAGACACTGGTTATGTGCGGGGACTGGGTGGGATTGTGTGCCACCCCGCTGTCATTGTGCCACCAAGATTCAGAGTCCCTGATCTATTGAAGAGGAGGAGTCAGGCAGACCTTTATTTGATCTTGGTGCTCTTATTTATTAGTTGTGAGTCTTTATTTGTAAAATCTACAAAATCTATTAATAAATTAGGAAGCTATTTAAACATGGATTAAATTGTATGCAAACATTCCTAGGTCTCCATTATGCTCTCTCTATCCGAGGGAAGATTGCAACATGGGGAAAAAGAAGCCTAAAAAGTTTAGACTGGTGATTCTGGATGCTGCAAAGAGAGCCTAGTTTCTCATGTTCTCTTCCCTGTCTCAGTCGTCTGAGGACACTGCCATTTCCCAAGAGAAGAGCCGGGAGGAAGAAAGAATGGCTTTTAGACTTCTTAAAGCGATGTACCAGGTATGTTGGTATGCGTTAGATGGCTGTGCTTTAACCAAGTGAGTACAGTTGAGTGAGGGGCAGGGAAGTTAAGGCTATATGCAGGCAGTGATTATAACGAATGGTTGTGCTAGGAAGTGAGGGTATGTGGTGATGAGGAACAGTGAAAACATGGTAAGACCAATTAATTGTAGGTGGGGTCAGAGGATTATCCTGATTGGGGTATCATAGAGTCGGCACTTATTGGCAATGGCAATGTCTGGGTCATGACTATGGAAGTGAATGACTGTAGAAGTGTAGAGGACAAGATTATTGAAGGAGAAGGAGTGAGAGAAGTGAGAGGCCAAGTTGTTGGGATTATTATTTATATGGATATTGAAATAACCAAAGATTATAATAGGAAGAACATTGGAGAGAGTGGCAATGAGCCATGTGCTAAAGGGTTCAAGGAATGACAGAGAATTGGTATCTACCAGGAATTGGTAGATAACTAAAACAAGGAGAGACTGTGATTGGTATAGTCTGATTTCGTAAGATTTAAAACTATGTGGGAGGAGATAGGAGGAAATGATCTGGAAACAAGTGTGAGGAGCAAAGAGATCACCTGCTTCACTTCCTGGTGCTGTGGTACAAGGAGCTTGGGAAATAAAACAGTCATCAAATGACAGGGCTTCAGGGGAA